CCAGCCACATTATTATTATTATTATTATTATTAGTGTAGTGTCTTTTGGCCTGGCAGGAACTAGAACTTGCTAGAACTGATTAACCCAGACCTCTCAACCTTCAGATTTTCTTTTGAGTAGTTTCTTATTATTAAAGGAGCTGCCTATGGGAAAGAGGAACAAAACATATATCACACTACTCCCTTCTCCTCAGTAGTTTGCAAAGTATTTGCTGTGGTTTCCATATTAACTGGTCATGAAAGTTTACATGGTAGGGCTTATCTTGCCTCTACACAATGTAAGCAGCTGCAAAATCCAAATAATGTCCAACAAAAAGGCAATGCCAATTTAATTAGAAAATAGATCCAGCAATAAAACCACCCTGTCCTTTTGAAAGGTCAAAAGGAGAAATCCAACTTGAAAGCCCCAAACATCTGCTCACCTCATGACTGATAAGCACACACACTCCCCTCACAAACCCCTGTGAAAAAAGCTGTATCTGGGTCTCCACATGAATCTAAATTTAATTATTAGCACTAGACACCAGGCAGCTGCCAGGTTTCCACAGAACTTGAGGAAACTGCATCTGAGTGCATGAGAAAGCAAAGCACACCATGAAGTGAGCTTGAGAAGCAGCTCACAGTATGGTCTGCTCTACCCTTAACGTGCAAAAATCTTCAGTGATACCTTCCTAACTAGTGATTGACATTTAAATAAGCCAAGCATTCAACATTCTTGATAGAAAGCAACTGGAATGCAGCTTCCCATTACCTACAGGAATAAAATTTACCTCCTAGTAACTTGCAATGTGCCATTTTCAAAGTCAAGTTTAAGCAGCCACAAATACAGATAGATACCTATTGATTTTCTGAGCATCTCACAGCTTAATTCCCAGTAATAACAACAGAAGTTGGGCATGCAGGTACTAACTTTTGGCACCCTTAGCTTTAAAACATAACTTTGATCAGATAAAGAAAAACTGTCTGTATTTCAAATATTTCATCATAATCATTTTACCTCAGAAGTGGCAAGTACTGCAATACTCTGGGATGGGATTTCCTGACCAGTCAGTCAGGATCCAATCCCAGTTACCCTCAGTTACAATTTACACAGTTCTTACATCTATTTATTTTCTTGCATAGATTTACTGTTTTAATTAAAACTGCCTGCTTAGGTGTTTAGTACCTTTCTATCAGAATTTATATTTCAATGTTGTTGGCCCAGTCTACACTTAGGATTCCTAGGATTTTCTCTGAAGTTTTGTTGGAATTAGTCAACAGGTTTTGGCTAACTTTCCCCTTTGCTCCTAACATTACATAACTCCAGCAGTGACAGCAGCAAAGCTTGAGGAAAGTCTAACAAACAATTAGATGAACTCCTGCTGTCAGGGTAAATTACATGGTATTCAACTGTTTTATGGAGAGTGTTCCACTTTGCTAAGAGCAACTGAGCATTTATGACTGTACAAACCCACTCTATTTTTGGGCCAGTACTTGCTGGTAGCTGTAATATTTAAATTTTCACAACTGAGACACTGTGTGATGACAGCAGCAGGCATCTCTGCTTCCCCAGGTGTCACAGGACCAGCTCAGCTGGGGTTGGACCCCTCTATGGGCCCTTCCTTTAAGAGCTGGGCTGGCTGATCCCAGTGGGTCCCTCCCAGCTCAGGATGTCCTGTGAGCTGTGCCACGCTGAATGTGGCACCCTGTGAGCTGTGCCATGCTGAATGTGGCACCCTGTGAGCTGTGCCACGCTGAATGTGGCACCCTGTGAGCTGTGCCATGCTGAATGTGGCACCCTGTGAGCTGTGCCACGCTGAATGTGGGACCCTGAGAGCTGTGCCATGCTGAATGTGCCACCCTGTGAGCTGTGCCATGCTGAATGTGCCACGCTGAATGTGGCACCCTGTGAGCTGTGCCATGCTCAATGTGCCACCCTGTGAGCTGTGCCATGCTGAATGTGGCACCCTGAGAGCTGTGCCATGCTGAATGTGCCACCCTGTGAGCTGTGCCATGCTGAATGTGCCACCCTGTGAGCTGTGCCATGCTCAATGTGGCACCCTGTGAGCTGTGCCATGCTGAATGTGCCATGCTGAATGTGGCACCCTGTGAGCTGTGCCACGCTGAATGTGCCACCCTGTGAGCTGTGCCATGCTGAATGTGGCACCCTGTGAGCTGTGCCATGCTGAATGTGCCACCCTGTGAGCTGTGCCATGCTCAATGTGGCACCCTGTGAGCTGTGCCACCCTGAGAGCTGTGCCATGCTGAATGTGGCACCCTGAGAGCTGTGCCATGCTGAATGTGCCATGCTGAATGTGGCACCCTGAGAGCTGTGCCATGCTGAATGTGCCATCCTGTGAGCTGTGCCATGCTGAATGTGCCATCCTGTGAGCTGTGCCATGCTGAATGTGGCACCCTGTGAGCTGGGCCATGCTGAATGTGCCACGCTGAATGTGGCACCCTGTGAGCTGTGCCATGCTGACACAGACCAGCTGATCCTGCCTCCCCACACCCAGGGGGACCCTCAGTGACCTCAGTGTCACCAAGAGCAGAGCATCCTGCAAAGCAGGGAACTGCCCCAAAGGCTTCCAGCTCCTCAGCAGGAGGGAGCAAAGCTGCCCTCCTCTCCACAACTCACCACTGACTCATTCCATGGCGATTCTGTCTTGATCGTTTTTGCATCTGCTTTTGAACCTGGCTCTTCAGCTGAGTCCTGTGGTTGTACTTTTTTCCTTTCTTTCCTTTTTCTGTCACACAGCACAGGTTTGCTATTGCATAATGCCCCATCCACAGTGTCCCCTGTAACACACTCAGCTCGCTCCATTTCACTCTCTTTGTTCTTACTGCTTTCCAATTGTATTTTTTGGAGTTTAGAAGCACTGTCATTGTTTAAAGAAACTTCTGAGTATGTTGTTTCCTTCTCCTTTTTCTTAATCTTCTTTTTCTTCTTACTGACTTCATTATTATATTTGAAATTCTTCCTGTATTTCTTTCCAGACAGCTCTTCTTCCTCAAGCTCAACTTCTTGCTGTGCTGGGAGATGCTTATCAGGAATGCTGTGACTGCAGTCTTGCTTATCTTCACAGGTTGAGGAAGAAATAGCTTTTGTTTTCTTCTTCTTCCTCTCTTTGATATGCCCAAAGTTCTTAATTTTGTTCTCTTCCTCTCTGCTTGTCCATGTAAATGCCCAGGAATTATGTTCCTTCCTTTTTCTAAAGTCACTTAATGCAGTGGGGCTACCAGGAACTCGATGCATGTTGTCCTCATTATCTGCCTGTGGTAAAAAGCAGTTAGACTTATCTTTCTTTTTATTTTTCTTCTTTCTTACATAACTCTCCCCACCATTCTGAGCATTACCTGTGTCATAGTTCTCACCCATAAAAACTGCTCTTTGTGAAGTGTATTTGTGGGTGTTTTTACAGACTTTTGCAGATTTTCTTTGTTCACTGTCCTGGATGTCCTCTAAAGAAAAACTGCATTTCTTCTTTTTTTTCTTTGTTACCTCACCATCCAAATCCAAATCAGTATTCTTCCTCTTTTTTTTAAAAGATAATTCATTTTTCTTAGTACCATCTGTGCGATGATTTGAAAGCTCCACGTCACTACTCTCATTATTCTCCAAGGAGAAACGACAATGGACTTTTTTTTTCTTCTTTTTGAATATTTTAATTTGTTCCTCTGATTCCTCTTGAAGTTGTAAATCCAGATGACCTTTTCTATTCACAAAGCTTTCTAAATGATCTTCCCTGAGTAATTCATAGCCAACTTTCTTCTTCTTGTTTTTCTTATTATTCCTTGGTTGCAATTTGTGTAAGCAGTCATCTTTTAAATTTTCCTTTTTCCTGCTCTTCTTTTTTTCCTTGAGACGGCCACTGTCCTCAGTTTTAATGACAGTTTTAACATCTTCCTCAATTTTAATGACAGTCTTCACCTTTTTCTTCTTCTGTACAGGTTCCTCATGAATGTCTTTTTTCTTTTTCTTTATTATCATTCTAAAAAAGGATATGAAAATGTTAGTGAACTGCTTCAAAGAGACAATGCAAGTCCTAATCTACTTGATCTTCCTTTTTTCTGAAACCATTCCTGATCTCCCATTGTCCCTGACATTCTAATTTCAGTCTGATTTCCATGATGGGGAACCAGAACATATTGACATACAGAAAAGACTGTTTATGGGGTGATTCTTTTTATCATGTTGTTTAGTGTACCTTGTCTTAGCTTGTAAGGTTCTATTTGTTTCACAGCAGCAGACCATAACGTTGTCTCAGTACCTATCCTCCAAATATCTTTTCTAAACGGCAAAACATATCCGTGTGTACATACACAAATACAATTAGTGGGTATATACACAAATACAATTCATTTTCCAGATACCTGTGACTTTTCACTTAACACTGAAGTTCACACGCCTTTACTGCCCACTCAGCATCACAAGACCCTTCCAAGGCACCTGATTTATTACCTTAAACTTCCTTCTATCGGTGATTTCTTATCCTTGCTCTCCGTTTTTCTCGGGACATTTATACCAACAAATTGATTACACCAGAGCACCCTTTAGCACCCACTCACTGAAAAACTCAATTATTCCTGCTCGGTTTGCAATAACACCATTGAGGCACGCTGTCAATCCGCGGACAGAGCCCCGAGCCCAGCACACCCAGCACAGCCCCTCTCGCTGTGTGTCCGGGCCCACCGCGCCCACCCGGCGAGGGGAGGCGAGGGGAGGGGAGGGGAGGGGAGGGGGTGTCAGCCCGAGTCCCGCCCCGCTCCGGGCCCGGCCCGGCTCGGCCCCGCCGCCACAGCATCCCGTGCGGTGCCGGTGCCTGTTCATGGCCGTGAGGGGCCATGCCCTGTGCCGGTCCCTGTGCCGGTCCCTGCCGTGCCGGGCCGTGCGGCGCTCACCTCCCGCGCCACGTGCAGCGCCCGCCGCCGCTCCGGAAGCGATCGCGCCGTGCCCGCCCCGCCCGGCCCCGCGCGGGCGCTGCCGGAGCCGTTGCCGCGGTGACGATCGGGACGCGGCCATGGCGGAGGGCGGGCCTGGCGCAGGTGGGAGCCCCGGCCCCAGCTCCGCTCCGAGCGCCCCGGGCAGGGCTCCGAGCCCCCCGGTCCTGCCCTGCCCCGGCCTGGGGCCGCCCGCTCCTCTCCGCGGGCGCGGGGCTGTGCCCGCCCCACAGAGCGCCCACAGCCGCCCTGATCCCCACCCCACGCGGCCACGAGCGGTTCTGTTCGTGGGCCTTATGGTGCTTTTATTGCCATAACTTCCCCACAGACACCCTTGGTGTGTGTTTGTGCTGCAGCCAGGCTGCTGCGAGCCTGTGGCTGGGCCTCTGAGCCCGGGTCGGGGCCTCTGAGCCCGTGGCGGGGCCTCTGCCCTGCCCTTGTGCCGTGTGGGTGATCCCGTACCCACCGGAGTTGGGGATTGCCTCGGGAAAGCAGAGAGGCGAATGTGTCAGTGCTGGCACAAACGTTAAATTAATACAAAACATCTGTTCTGAGAGCACCATCCCAAAGCAAAGCCCCTGGGCTTCTCCCAGAGTCTGGGAACACCGAGATTGCAAAGCTGGGGGACCAGCGCTGCATTCTGCAGTTCCCCAATGGAGTTATCTTCCCTCAGTACTTCATAATGCCCAAAGTAGGCGTTTTGCACTAAAATGGCCATTTTCGGGTAGGAGAGAGGCTGATTATTCTAAGCCAACACCTGCAGCACCCTTGGATTTGGTGGTGCCATTAAAGCCCACTGTGATGGTGGAGCTGAACCTGCTGGGCCGGGCTCTCAGAGCTCTGCACTGTGGCATCTCTGGGTGTTCCCAGATCAAGTTCCTTTATTTTTCTCAGCCTGAGTCACTCAGTATCCTTGAGGGTCATGTACAGCTTTTAGTTCTTTGAGGGTTTTGTTTATTTTATTTTATTTTATTTTATTTTGCAGACATTAATACTTAACAATGTCTATGGGATTTAATTGCTCATAGAGGAATCCGCTATGATTGTCAACTAGAAAAGTATTGTCTACTAGTAAAAACAGTGGTTGATTCAGTGCATTCTACCTGTGTTGAAATATTTTGAATTATTATTTTGGTACCTTTTTCCCAATAAAGGGTTCTTTTGTCAGTAAGAACCTTGCACTTGACTTAAAGCTGAAAGGACATGACAAGAGTGTCTAAAGTTCTTGCTTGTTTTAAAACGTTAGATTTCATGTTAAACAAATATCTATTGCATACTAACTTTTGTTTTTTCAAGCCTAAATAAATGCCTTCTAAAATAATGTTGCTTTAGGAGGGAAATAAATATAATTTTAGGGTTTCCTGGTAAATATTGTACTTTTTTTTAACTTTCAGAGCATGAAGAGGAACAGCCTCAATTTTCAGATGTTCCTCAATCAAAAGAAGATCCCGAATCAAAAGAAGAATCAGTGAGTTGAGTTCAAGTAAAACATCTGCATAGAGATGGATTGAAAATATTTTAAACAATGAAATGTGAAAATTAGGTACCCATAGGGTAGACTCATTCGTAAAATGAAAACAAAATTATTATTTTTCGAACAGTTTATTTGAACCAACAAATGTAACATTCCAAATAATTGCTTGTATTTAAAGCAACTTGAGTAATGCTAACAAGAAAAGTTTATTTTCTTTAAAAGGTGAATTTCAGGACTTCTGAACAATGTGAAAGAGATATTTAAGCTTCTGAATGGAAAGTACTTATTCAGAAAATGCTACCAGTATTAACTTACAAATAATTTCTATTTCTTACAATGGATAAAATATTTTAAAAATTGTGATATCTCACCATATTCTGTAAAAGGGAGTCATGTGCCTTCTGTTAGGTTTGGGTGATTTTACTGTGCTGGAAACTGCAGAAGTTGTAAAAATGTAGTTATTTATATTATTACTTAGGTATATTATTAATTAAATGTAATTATTATATTTTCAAGTGTTCAGAAAATACATAAATAATACAATATTTGAATTAGAAATTATAATTCCATATTTTTTAACTGACCTTGTAATTTTTTTTCTGTTTAATTGGTTTGTATTTTTTTGTCTAGTCTATTGGGGTATTTAGACAGGATACATTTCTTTTGAGCAGGTGCCTTTGGAAGCAGAAATTCCTGTGGAACAACTTTTTTCTGCCCCTGCAGCCCAATATCTGCCACCTGTGCTTGGGGAAACTCCCCCTGGAGAACCCCCTGATCCAAAAAAATGTAAGTAGCAGTATATGATCTTGAGCCCTGCTGGGATTATCTCTTGCATATGGCAAGGATTTGTAATTTATTTCATTTAGAGAGTTAACAGGACCAAGACATTTGCTGGTGTGGAATTTGCACGGTTTGGCCTCTGGTCTGAAATCAGGGAGCCAGCTTGGCCACTTGGTCAGTGGAAGAAATACCAAATTATGCATTACAAACCAATAGCTTTACCAGCTAAGGGAGCTCTGTGCTCTTCTGAATAAGTGACTTTTTATTTAGGCACTTAAATCAGAAAGGGCAGGCATTTCTTCCTCTGATTTAATAATGCAAAACTAGGATCAATAGACTAAGTAGACAATTGAATTTGAAAACTGCTGTCAAAATTCTGTCTTTTCCCATCTGATTACAGACGAGAATGGAAGCAGCTTTGAAGTTTTGTTCTTCCACTTTTATCAATCCTTTTACTTTATAATAAATTTACCAAGCAGCAGTGTGTTTTTATTATGCCTTTTAGCCCTTCATGTTGTGTTCTCTTCCATTAATTCTTGCTCATTAGGAATTCCTGGTGCAAGTCAGAAGCAGTGTTACCCTTGTCTTCTATATAAATAGTGTCCTCCCAATTATGAGCATTTTCTGGCAGTATATGAACCAATTAAAGGTATAAAGCTGAGAATAAATTCAGTGTTTCAGCTGTGTTGCCAGAAGAGAGCATTTGTATGATTTAGTCTTTGCTGATCACACCAAAACCTGAGTGCTGCCTGAATGGGGAGAAGTGCCAGTCCAGACAGCCCTCTGAGAGGGGAAAGGTTGGGTACATGGAGTCATGGTAAAATCTCTGAAGGATCTGGCAAGTATGAAGCAATTATGACAGAGAAATCACAGCACCACTAAAATATAACCTTTGGTTTTTCCTCTGTCTAGAAATTCAGTTTTATGACTAACTCTGCTGATGCAGATTGTAAAGGGCATGAGATACAAAAGTGGCCTAACTGCAGCAGCACTGAGCTCAGCACAGGCTAATTTCTTCCTGTCAGGGTAAATTAATTCACAGAGCTTTTCACTTCTGTGACTAAACTGCTTCTGGTGTCTGAGTTTCTTCACTTAAAACTGAATCTGACATCTCTGAGGCACACTGAGTTTGCAGTGGTGGTGCACATTGAAATTTACCCAAGTTTGTGTTGTGTTTGATGAGAAGTGAGGACAGACCAGTGGCTGTCGGTGAAGGGAATGAATCTGCTTTGTCCAAGCTGTGATGGTATTGATAAAATGACTGGTACTGACTTGAAGATATCTAATGGTGGTGTTTTTGTGAGATCCAAGTGCTTAGCTGTGAGTGAAGGCTGTCCTGTCTTGCTCAGGTTCTCCTCGAGAGTTCTTGGAGTTTTACATCTTCCCAGTGCTCCTGCCAGGACTGGCTGCACTTCTGCATGAAGTAGAGAAGGAGAAGTGTTTAGAGGTTAGTTTGTAGTTTTCATTTCAAATCACTGGCAGGAAGTTACAGCCTTTTCTTTCACAGGCAGGATTTTTTAAATTTGGTCTTTTGCAAGAAAACCATCCATAATAATAGGATATAACATATCAGGGGTTTTGTTTTGGATCTGGTTTTAAATGTTATTCTCTCCAGTAATTCAGAACAGATTACATTCTACATGAACTTGATCATTATAGAAAACCCACTTATGTGAAGAGATGCCCTGCTGCTGGGGAGCCAAGCTCAGGAAGGCAAGCTGAGGTCAGGTGATAGTTTTCCACTGTGACCTCATTTCTTCCTCCTTTTGAACAATAACTAGGAAAACAATAGCTCTTCATGCTTGCCATATAATTGAATATTTATGTTCTTTTCCATTGTTGTCCAGGTGCTTGATCTTGCACATTCTGTTTCCTTATCTGGCATAAATATGTGATTTTTAGTTATCCTTTAGTTTGGTAAGAAATAAGTTGTTCCATATGGATTTGGAGGGGAAAAAAACCCAATTGCTATAATTTGGTTAAAATGGCTAATGAAATAACTTGAACTGAATTTTAGGATCAAAAGCAGAGTCCTTACAAACCCATAGTAGGAACAGGGAGAAAGGTTCTTGTGATAAACACATTGGAATACAGCTTCCAAAAATAAGAGGACAACAAAGATCGAAAAGATTCATGGAATTCATGAGACAACAGGACATGAAGAGGATTAATTGTGATGAAAAGAATACTGTGTTTGACTTCTGGCTAGACATGAGTCCCTAAAGCCTGTAAAGGGCAGTGGTACAGAATAAACCAGTGGAAGATAAATGGAAGAAGCACTGGAAGGGAAGGGAGGAATGACTGCAATCAATGTGGAATGAGCCCAGGAGAAGAGAGAGGGAATGGTGAGAGACAATGAAGAGTGGGATTTTGATGAGAGGGACTAAAGGTTTTCATGTTTTGAAAGGAAATGAAGATGAATGAGAAGAGCAGGAAAAGTTAAATAGGAGAGCTTTTGAGCAATTGAAATTGTGTTAAGAAAATCAGATTCTAGGGCCAACAGGGGAATTCAAAGAAGAGACCAGAGAAGGTGCATCCATGTCTGGAGAGGAAGAATTGTACAATCACATGGGGAAGTCAGGAAAGGGAAATGGTTATGCTGGAAGCAGGGATTTGTGTAGGAAAGATCTTTTTTGAAAGGTGATAAAGAAACATAACAATTTATACATTTAATTTAACATAGGCTCTCTTGCATTATGTGATGCATACAAAAAATCTGAAAAGCTAAGCCCAGAAAAACCACCAGCTGCTAGATATATGTACAGACTTCAAACTGACATAAATATGAGAGCAGTCTGCAGAAGCTTCATTTTTAAATTAGAGATGAAAGAAACCTATTAGGTTGCCCAGTGTATTCCCTCACTGATTTTTTTTTCCTACCCTAAGTTCTCCTGTGTTTTATCCCATCTGCTGTAAAATGCCTACAGGGGAAAGACTATTTTCTTAAATCTTTCCTTTCATGAGAACCAACTAATGCATTCATTTTTCAGCATTAAACTGAACAATGTATAAATGTTTTTATTAGAATAACTCTGACTTTTCTTTCTAGTTAGCTATCACAGAAGGAGGAAGCTGTATAAGGCTCTGTAATGAAATATATTTAAAATTATGATAGATCAGGGAAAAGGAATGGAAGAAGGTTTCCTAATGACTTTGCCATCTTCTGATCACTAGTATATTTTCATGATTATTACCAAGCACATCATATTTAAACTGAAAAATGGAAAATGAATTCTGAATATAAACAGTTTATAAACACATCTGCAGGTTAACAATGCACATTGTACAGATATTTCCTGTTTTTATCCGGATTCATGCAGCATAGGAGGAATGTGTCAAAGGCAGGTCAATTTATGTAATTTTTTCCCTTTATAAATGTTGCCTGCTGTGCAACTAATGATTTAATTCACTAGCAAAATAAACTGTTTCCTGGAAAAGAAAATAAGATAAAAAATATTCAGCTTGATTGAATTCCTTTCTGCTAAGAAGGATAAAACAAGATGAATTTGATTCCTTTGGCTGTTTTGAGAACCCTGTTCTGATCATTTTTTCCCATTGCAAAGGAAAAGCAATTTACTTAAAACAGATTAAATTACAACTGCTAGATTAAATCGAATTTTGTTGTCAAAGTGTAGAATTTATTCTCTGAAACAATTCCCTAAGTAATGGGACCCATTTTCATCCTGTGATTGAGAATAGCTGTACAGTCACAATCAGACTCTGCTGTTTGCTTGCAGATTCTGGGCAGGTCAGGATTTGTCCATTTAACATTTGAAGTGACTCAGGAAGCTCTGCAGTGAAGGTATTGGTCTCTTAAAGTTTAGGTGTTGGGCTTCTTGGAACAGCATTTGGTATCAACATAAGTGTGAAAACTGCATGAGGAGCTGTGTTTTCTTCCCAGCCAAGCACTTAATGGAGCCCTACCTGAACCCTAAAGCTTTGGTTGTCACAAAACAGATAATAAAGGCATGTATGGCTCAGGATTAATAATTGTTTTATGATGATTTCATCCTCTGTTCTTCTGCTTGCTTTTTTTTTTTTTATTTTTCTTTTTTTTTTCTTCTGTTGGAGTCAGACTGTATTTCTATCAAGGGTAAAATTCTCTAAAAAATTAAAAGCTTTCCTGGGTATCCTGTAGGACTGCCCTGCAGTCCAGCACTAAACTTCACACTTGTCATCCCCAGCTGTGTGACTGCCCTGTGCTCTCCCTGGCAGCCAGCACCTCACACCATGCTCCTCTTCCACTTCACCTGTGGCTGACCCCCAGATTATGACCTATACCACGAACTGAAAGAATTATACTATGTAGAACACATCTGAGGATAATGCATAGAATAAAGTCATTTTTCAATTTTCATGTTTATTGTATTTTCCTTAGCAAGTGGTAGTAGTATCTTAACCTCTTTTAGTCAAGACTTCAGCCTCTTTTGTGACATTAAGCAGTTTCACAAAAGCTTTGGACCAGTGTGAATTTTTTTCCTAAAAAGCAATTATTACAGCTGAATCTCCTGTTTGACAGGGCAGGTGTTGGGATGGGAGCTCAGCTTGCTTTTTAGCAGTGGCTGCTATTGTGATGAAGCACTTGGTGCCCTGGGGCTGCAGGGCTCAGTGTCTTTGAGGGTTCACTGTGACTTTGTGCACCCAGAGCACATCTCATGTCAGAGGCCTTCTGAAGATATTGATCAAGCTCTTCTGGTATTCCACCCAGAGCTCCACGTTCTATTCTCCACATTATGGTTACTGTGGTTTGTGATAAGCAGAATGAGCACCTGTATCATTTATCCATTCAATCTGTCAAGATAGAATGTCAGAGGAAATGCTTAAAAAAATAAAGGATTTCCTGATCCATGCTGGTTTTATCAAAATTCAGGCTCTGAATGGCTGGCTGTGGTACTGGCTGCACGAGTCCCCAAGGACAACCTGCTGCAAAACATTTTGTAAAATCCTCTTTGTTGGTTAAGATTGAGAACTGGGAGCAAAGGGCACAAATGATTTGCTGTGAAGCTCCAGGTTTTGAATTTTTACCTGGTTCTCTGTAATGCCCATGGTTTCTGTGGCTGTGGACAGACAAAAGCCTTCCTTTGGTTTTGCCTTCCTTCCTGGACCACCCAGCAGATGCTTTGGTCAGAGCAGCCACACAATACTCTGCTGTGTGCATTCACAGCATCTTCAAGCTGGGTCCATGCAGGAGGAGCCAATATCCAATCAATGTTCCCTCTGTGTTGTGGAAGAAATGAAGTATTTTGAGTGTGATAATAGAACTTTAAACAAAATGGCAAGGAATTTACAACATATTTTCATGTTTGAATGAGTTCTGTTAATTTCTTCACAATGACATTGCCACTTGCAGCACCATTCAGAGGTCTTTGTTCTAGATATACTGCAGTAAATATCAAGATAACATATGTAGAATTTTCTCACTCATAGTTTGTCCTGAAATCATTCCACAAAATTTCTAAAATTTTGGCTGAACCACTGACTTTTGGCAGTAGCAATAAAGAGTAGACAGAGTAATGAACTGTATATTTTATTTAATAAAAGCAGTCAATTTATCTTATACATCTGACCAATCCAAAAATAATAAATAATTTGAAACTGTCTTCTGTCTTTAGGAAAAAAGAACCAAATTTATTCCCACTGATTTCCTAACTGAGTGGTTATACAAGTAAGTTATTCATATTTCTTGCTACTAAGTATGTTCAGTGATTCCAAGGCACTAATTTGCAAATTGAATAGCTGAAATTTAAATTAATATGAGTTGTTTTCCTTTTTCTTTAGCAAGAATCCAAAGAGGAAAGATGAGTCATTCACAGAATTGTTTTCCATTCCTTTTGTTAAGGACTGGCTAAAGGACCAGTAAGTTATTGCAGTACTCAGAATAATTTTTTTCCTTTTATTCATTTGCTATTCCAAAGAAGTTATAGAGCCTCAATATGTTGCAGTTGTGCCCTCAAAAATGCCCTTTACTGTGTGCAACAAAGAACTATGTAATAGTTTCTAACTGGCCAGTGTATTACTTACAAGGTATTTTGTACCAGAATTGCTCACAGATAAATTAATTTCAAATTCCTAAACATTTTAATTGTAGAATGAAGGACATTTGAATAGTCTGGTAGTGTTATGAACATCTTTGTACTAAGGAGTAAAGCAATTTTTTCAGTGCTGCTTCCTCCCATGGAAATCTTTGAGAGTGTAGTCAAGAAATTCTTCTCTAACTGTAAGCAGCTGCTTTTGAGATACCTGTAACAATCCTTGGCATCAGGATGCATTTCTGCAGACATTTATGACTTTGAGAAGCAAGCACTTGTTTTTGGCAGCCTCAATCATATATTCCTTGTTATTTTCTTAGAACCAAATAGCACAATAGTTATGAGAGAAATGCTAAAGTCCTTGAGACTGCATTTATTTTAAATACAGCTGCTGTGTGAGAAAAGCAAAGGATTAGTCCACAATGAGGGAATAAGAAACTAACAGGGATCAGATAATAAAGAAAAATTTCAATTTGAAAACTTAACTGAAATCTGGATTGGTCATTGGTGAAAACATAGAGATTAATGTATCTTTGTAGATACATTTACTTTTTCACATGATGTAAGTGGAAATTGAGCTTCATTGAATTCTTGACTTGTGACACTTGGAACCTTGAGACACCAATGGAACAAGAGGAAAGCTCCTTATCACAGGTCTTTGTGGATAAGGTGGCAATTGTGTCAAAAGGGTTAACTTTGATTCCCTGAGAGGTGGTCAGAGCTGGGTAGGACATTTCTGAGTACAAGACCCCTTTGGAGAATGACCCATTTCATCTGAGCTCTGGTACCTTCAGCCATCAGCTCACTGTTCAAACCTGCTCTGCAGGGACACATCTGCTCATTCTGTCAAACTCAGTCCTTGCCAACAAGTTGCCCATCTAAAGCTGTGGTTTAATGCTTTGTAAAGTGAGCATGAGCTGCAGCCTGGTTGTTGAACCCCTTTCTTAGGCACACAGAAGAGCCCTTGGCCAGTTCAGCCATTTTGGTGCTGTGGGTTTGTGAGGATGGATGTTTGTACCAAAGATAAAATCTTTAAGATCACAGTTTTCAGACATTTCTCTTGGAAGTAAAGCTGAACAAAACATTCCCTGCTCTCTCCTGTACTTCACCCCACCCTGCCTGTAGGCACCCTGGTACCACCCTGTCTGTTTGTTAGGATGCTTGACTATTCTGATCAGGGCCCTGGTCTGGGTTAGGAATCTCTCTGCCAAAATGTGTGAGGAGGGTTTGTACAATTATTGAAAACAGATCATTTCTCCAGTCTGCTTCACCTTGGAGAGTGGCAAACCTGTGTATTGGCACAAACAAGGGATTAAAATGAAGGGCTCAGGGCAAGGTGAATAGAACAAATGAGCTGCTAAGATGGAGAGGTGGTGGCAGGAACTGCTTAAGTCAGCTTTGCCAACAAGAGAAATACACTGTGGAATCACAGCCTGGATGACTCATAGCTTCTGTTAGTGGTGGTGCTCCTAAATAACAGAGTGACAGCTCCACAAGGACACTGGAGTGTCAGAGTCCCACTTAAGTTGATACCCTTCATCTTAAATCCTCTAAACAACTAGGCTCTTAAAATAATAATTATTAAAATTATTAAATAACTACTTTTTGTGATCTTATCCTAAAATTACAGATTTAAAAATGCTGCTTCTGAAGTAAATATTATTGGAGCAAAGTGAAAGGCTGCAATATAAAATAAGAATAAAAAAAGAGAATTTATTATTATGTCCTGGATTTGTCATAAATAGTTTATTGTTATATCCTTCCAGCTATCACACTTAAATGTAATTGATTCTATGCTTTTTATTGTCATTTCCATTTCTATTTTTAAAGGAGTTTTAATTTTTTTAACAGGATTAAGAATAGATAAGACACAATATGCTAAAAAGTGCTGGTCAAATTTTGATGGGAAGCATCCTCATCCCAACTGTTGAGATGGGTTTATCAGTGCCAAGCAGTCCTGATGCTTAAAAAAACCACCAAAACACAAAACCCCCAGAGCACTATTGTTTTTGTTCTATCTGGGATCCAGCTTTATTTAATATATTCCATACTTGAGTATGACTTTTTTGGCTCTCCTCCAGTGCCTCCAGTTTCTTCTTTGAAGCTCAATTTTTTAGAATAGTCAAAGCCACAGTCTTATGAGCTTCACTTTCTGAGCAATGCATTTCTAAATGAGATCTTGCAGCCTACTTTTCCCTAATGAGACCTAAATGCTGCATCAGTTTTCAGAATTTTAAATGCAAACCTTATACCTTCAAAACCTAGTTTTTGTCGGTGAAGGAGCTTGTAAAATTTGAATTTGTTTCCAGCTTTAGTGTAATAACAGCTGTGACATCTTAGTATAGGCACCTTGCCTTGCACTGAGTTCTGCATGTTACCAGTAGTGCTGACAAAATATTCCATCCCTTGGGAACCTTCAATTCCCCCAGCAGATTTCAAAAGCAGAGGAAGGAGCAGCTCCAGTGCTGACTGGGATCTCCATATCACATGGCAGACATTTCTGTTGCCTCAAGGGACAGCTGCACCTTTCAGAGGGCAGGAACGTGGAGTTTGAGCACAGAACCAGCCCACGTTTGTTGGGCACTTGCTGGGACACAAAGTGATGGAGCTGCTCCTCCATTTGAGGCTGATAGAACCAGTGGAGAAACAGAATTAGAGCTGGGAGTGTTTTGTAATCCTATAAATATGCTAATGAGCACCACAGTTGCCTTTTGTCAGCATTTTCCAGTGTGTTTCTGGTTGAGCAGCACTGAAGCTCAGTTGCAAGTAATCAAGCTCTGTGTACTGAATCGGGGCCAGGAAAGTCAGTGAGCTCTGATTATGTTCTGATCCCTCTGAAATTTTACTTTTCTGGCATAGATAGTCTGAGAAACTGGCAGCATCATTTCCCATCCTTCTTCAGCATTTTAATGGAAGAAATATGAAGAAACGAATAAAACATTGTTCCCCTGATCTGAAAAACAGTGATAACATAAAAGCCTGTCATGTAAATTTAATAACATGATAGCATTGTTCAACATAACCCTGGACCTTACATCCAGTGAGAGAGACTGGTGTATAGTAGGTATATGCACCTATGTTAGGAACAAGCATTTCCTGGCTTTTGAAGTTCAGATAAAAAAAAATAATTCACAAGATTTTTTTAATCTACATTTTCTTCTCTTTATTAGAGATATTCACTTGCTACTCAGTTCAGAAGGACACATTTCCTGGTTTAATCTGTCTGTGTGTACCAAAACAAGTGTACAGACACAGAGAAAATAACTTTATCATGGTTTTACTGAAGTGGGCAGCTAAGATATAAACCATGACTAAATTTGGAGTGGTGGCTTTTTGCCAAATATCTGTATACACATATATATATACATTGATTATTTTTTCTCCCTCCCCCAGATATTTTAATTGGGTGAAGTCTGCTGGTCTCAGCTGCCTTTACAGTTGACTTCATTGTCAGCTCTCAGATGGCCAATAGGGGTAATTTTGCACGGGTGACTGATTTTTTTTCTTCCCATAATATGCCCAGTTTCTACAGGCTGTGCTTTCTGCACACTGCTATATTTCATTGCTTTGTGTCTAATCCAGCCATGTTTGGAGAGTGCTTGGTTTGCCTTGTATGTTCTTCTTTAATTTTCTTTAGTAATTTGAGCTTTATATAACATTTTATTGTAATAACAGAAAGTCCAAAAAATACATCTCTGTGGATGTTATTCTGTGTGTTTCCAAGTAAAAATTGCCATTGAAGTAATGTGGCAGAATTCAAGTTAACAAAGGAGAGATTTTTTACTTGAAAACTGTGTGTTGAAAGACTGCAGAAATTTTCTGTGTAAAATATTTCTATTTTGTAGTGGTGCTTTATGGGGTTGAAGGTGTTATGGCTGTAATATCTGATACATTAAAAATGCTTTAATTTATGTAAAAGTTGTCAAAATGGCAGTGAGAAAACTGAGAACTTATAAGTGCTTTGTGACATCTTCCTAATGCTGCTGTTGGATCACTAAGGGGAGTTTTTCATGTTTTCAGCATACAAAGTCTGACCTAAAGTACACAAACATAGAGGGGAATTTTCCCATTGACATGAGTGGCCTTTGGAACAGGTCCATGTTTGGTTTCCTTCAGCCCAGGGCCACAGACACTCTCACAGACTGCATAAATATTGGTCCTGTGAGAGAGAAAGCTGAGGCAGTGCTTTGTGACTTCCAAAATATGTGGCAAGTATGCAAGCACAGGAGAGCTGAGCTGGAGCAGTAAATGGGCATGTCCTCCCAAGGAGAGCCTGCTGAGGCAAGAAATCCACTGCCATTTTCAGACAGAAGTGAAGAAAAAAGATTCTTGCTCTGCTATTTTTTGGCATGTTCTCATTACAAAGATTTCTTGCTGTGCTTCCTGTAATTCCTCTGACATTCTGGTCACAAATCACCTGCTCTGCCTCAGTCTCCTGTTGGTTACATGACTCTGCCTCCACACATAACAACTTTCTCATGTTAGCTCCACACTGTCTTGTCTTTTCTTCATTATAAATAGTTAAGCAAGTACATAAATAGTTGGTATGTGTTTAACAGCTAAATGCATATTATCACTATGGTCACTTTGATAACACTCTCAAATGTATTTATAACATTTTTAAATTCAGTTCACTATTGACAGTATAAAGGGGCTTTTATTTGGACAAGATGATAGAGAAGAAGAGCTCAGACTCCTGCAACTAGCAGGAGTCCCACTTTAAGATGTCTACTTGGTTGCAGTTCCTTTTCTAAGAAGTCTAAATTTGGTTATTCCCACATTTACAATCCTTCAAAAATTTACTCTCCATATAATGCACTAAAATGTTTTCTTGTATATTGTAAGGATTTTTTTTTTCTCAAATACTAATAATCTTATTCTAGTGCATTTAGATTGTTGCAAAAGAAAACTAGTGGTTAGGAATTTATTTCTGACTATGGAATATTTGTATTAATACTGAAAATGTTACAAAGAAAGGTCTCAGTTCACACTCTGTTTGACCTGGGAAAATGTTCCAGGGTATTTTTGTCAAATGTCTGTGGGAATATTTCCCTGGAAATCTGAGAGACTCATACAATGCCTTTGTAATATTTGATCAATATATGTAATTGATTTTAAATACCAGGTCAGATGAATCAGTACTTCAGTGTTTGACTGCTTATGAACCACCATTTTCCTGCTTTTTGGGTAAATGACCTTAGTTGTATTTATAAGCAGAGGGTTTTGAGACATTTATTTTGTATCAAAGCAATACTTTTTCATTATTGCACACTTTTGGGGTTCTGGATAGGAATGTAAGAGAAAGACCTAAAGAAGGCAGCTGTTGCTGTAGTGTTTGCAGATTCTCTGATTAGGAATAAGAAATACTGCAAATATGAAAGATAAGTACTTTGAGAAATTTTTAGCAGAGTTTTTTTTGGTTATTCAGACCAGCACATGATTTTTTTGTATATTTCCCAAAACAAAGACTTTCTCAGAATCCTTTTTTGAAGAATTATGCAGATCACCATGGTCGTTTACTTGTGTGTCTTGTATTTATCCCTGTTCTGTGGTCTGTTCCTTCAGATTATGAATTTTTCAGTGTCTCTGTCATTGCCTGTACCTGATGTAAATATTCCAGAACAATAACCACCGCAGTCAAACTAAAGGTGAAGTGAATGTGGCTCTGGCCACTATAGTGAAACTTAGGAGGCCTCATCCTTTGCATTAGGGTTGCCTCAGTATTTCTAGAGAAGAGCTTTCTAAAGGCAGAGGGGAGCCCAGGCCATCCCATGGCTGCACCTGGAGATTCCAGGCTCACCTGAGCCCCAGGCTCTGCTGCTCTCTGCAGGCTCCTGGCTCTGGGGCTCTGCTGCTGTCAGGGACCAGGCTGGAGCAGGAGGAGCCATTACAAAACCCTGAACTATGTACACTGAACCTTTTCTTCATTACAATTTTTATCTTATATTTTATTTCCAAGGAAGGAATCAGGCCTATTTGTAAGACAAATTTGGAATGTGAAGATAATCAGAGTTTCTGGGCATTAGTGTGTGGAAATACTGGATGAATTCAGTGCCCTTCACTGTGGCTATGAGGCCCCAGAGATTATTTTGTCTGTTTTGGAGACAAGAAAATGGAGGGATTCTTTTCCTCCCTTTTCGGAATTCTTTGAGAACCCAATCTTCTGTCCATGGGGAAATCAAATACATGTCTTCATTAAGAACCTTTTTCAATGCCTCCTACATTTATGTAATGCAAGTCTGTTTTGTATCTTCTGGGTGTGAAATTCCACTTTCATAATGTCTTTTAAGTAGTGAATAGCTCACAGAATCAAGATCTGTACAAGTTTGCTCAGAAAGCAAGAAACATGTTTCTAGAATTTAACTTTGGTCAGTGTCTGCTTTATGCAGATTTGGTAAAATAAAATACTTAAGAAAAATCTTTTTTTTAATGCTCTTTTACAGGTGCAACTTGTGTTTAACAATATATGTATATTTCAATAGATATGATAATAATGTTTCATAATAGTGTTTCATATGTGGGTTTTTAAGATTGTGCATGATCAAGGACTAAATAAGGACTAAATAAGCAGAATGCAGTCAGTGTGCATTGTACTGTCAGTTTGCATCTTGCAGGCATCCAGCTGTCTTCTGCCACAAATGACAGACTCCTCTTCCCCTCCTTGGCTGCTGAGGGGTGATTGCCTCTGCTCAGATTCTATTTTTATTTGACCTGCAGACAATTGTGTATATTCTCCATTTATTCCCTTAGACCAAACTGGACCTGGCATGACACCTGGTCTTTAAGGCTGTGCCATTGAAAGGATTGATATCTGCCAATGACTGTCTTACTAAAAATTGAATCCTGTTCTTCCTTGATTTTTTATATTGTTTTCTCAGTTTTAGTGTTGCATTATAAGCTAGACATTTTTATAATTTCAAAATGAAAGCAAAGAAATGGTAGAGTTGCAGGCTAGGAGAAATCTCAAGTTGTTCTTTAGAGATGTACTTATTCCTAGAGAAAGTTCAGTGCTTTGATATAACTGCTGTAAAATATGTAGGTCTTCCTGTGATTTTCCCTAAGTTTTGGTTTTCAAAAAGATCTAAAATAGAACAGAGGATGAAAGCCTATCAGGAAACCAGCACAGTCCAGCTTCAGATTTTTAAGTCTGATTATAAGAAGCTGTTATCTCAGGAAGCCTTGCTTGTCCAGCACTTATGATTTCCCCTGAGCAGGAGAAATGCTAATTAATATTCACAGGGCTAAGACAGTTCAGCTCAATGGAGAGACTGCTTTTTATTTTTGCCTTATTTCGACTTTTCCAAACAGACCAAGGTTTTACTTCACATTAAAATAAATGTAGGCCAAAACCCAGCTGACATGATGATGAGACCAATTTAGCTGAGTACACAGGCTGAGCCAGTGGAGTCAGTGTAGCATTAGATAAGAGCTGAGGCTGTGCTCCAAGTGGAAATGCTCCTGCAGTGAAGACAAGCCCTAAGAGAAAGATGTCAGAGAACATAGGAAGCTTACTAGGGCAGAGACTAATATGAATGAAATTAAGTGAAAGGAAAATGTAAGCTGTCAAGCCTCCTAGCTTGGCCTGTAATATGCCATAAATAAATTTCCAAAAGATATTGCAGCATTTTAGCCAGAAAATGTAAGACTGCCTAAATAAATGGCCTGTGTGTGTCTGTAGGTGGGTGCTGCATCCAAATTCATCGTGTTGTGTTCTTCCAAGTCAAGGCTGTGTTCAGTCTGTTCCCCATGCAGGGAGAGTGGCTCTTGGCAGCCATTCTAATGCTGTGCCAAGGCTTCTCTTTAGAACTGGTATTTTCATGAGTTGCACTGTTATTACACTGTAGTTCTTTGGATGCGAATTACATTTCTCCTAAAAGACAGTATAGAAGTAAATTTTGTTTTGTCCTTTCCAAGGGATGATTTTTTTATCATTGTGTCTGAGAAAGAAGTCAACACCCATAGAAAATGGCTTTTGGGAAGCAAGGTTTGATATAGTCATTTGAGGCTGAATTTAATTACTAGCTTGTTCCCATTAAAATTGGTAGCAACAGATTCACCAAATGTGCTTTCAAGCTACCATATATTTTGGCTGAAAATGGTTGAGTTCACAAATGTATTACATTCTTTTATCACCAAAAGAAAGTGTACATGGCATCAAAAGTAAAATTTCAGCACTTTAAGAACTTGTTTAGACATTTCTAAACATGGGTTCGTGCTATGCAGATACGATAATCATTATTTTCCAGCCTGTTTTAATTTAAAGTGACACTATAATGTAAATGAATGTGCTAAGATATGTTTATATTCTGTGTATTTCATGTAATAAACATTTACATATAAGTCTGTTCATTGTTGCACACACACACTAAAACCTTCCCTGCTTTCCAAATGGCAGAGTGCTCCCCTTGCCCACCTCCCACTGCCACCCCAAACCTTACCATAATAGGGGCACTTTGAAGCACATGTAGAAGAATAAGAAAAATGACTCTGCTTGATGTGCCATTTGTACATTATTGTTTTAAGAAGGAATTCTTGTAGTGTGTATAATAATATATTTGAAAAGGAGACATTCTTAGTGCATTTTGTTTTCAGAGCAATAAGAATTTCTGTCTTTCAGGCTCCTGAACAACATTTCTCTTTTTGATAAAATATACTGTTAAGGAAGAAAGTGTTTTACATTTATAGGCTGCCTGTTACATTTATTTTTTTTTAAGTCCTAGACCACCAGTTCCTCTATCTCTGCTTCTATCAGAAGAAGAAGCAAGCATACTAATCCAGTCCTTCTGGAGAGGTTATCGGGTAAGAGGAATCTGTAATTATTGTGCTTGATGTTGAAAACTGTAGGACTGTGAAGGCCCCAGGGAAAATCCTTACATAAATTTTAAGTAGGGGATACTATAAATAGCTGCTGAGACCCCTATGGTTCATTGGCTTTGGATGTTGCTCTGCCTTATGCCTAGTGACTTCAATTTTTTCACAGGCATTTATGCTGATGTAATCTCACTGTTTTCCTCAACAACAGAAAAATCCACAGAAATTCGATTTTCCAAAGTACAATTAACACCGAACAATTTTCTTTCTTTAACTGAAAGCTGCTTGGGGTAGCTCTCAAGGATGAAGTGGTATTTTGCTTCATGCAGGGATATGCTGGTGAGTGTGGAGATGCATGAGGAGGATTGGTGAGGTCTGTTGAGAAAAAAAAGCATCCAGAAAGAAAAGACAAGGAATTGAGACCAAGAATGAGACAGGAGATTTATGAGAGACATGAAGGATGTTGTTCAAGGAAAAGGGAAACAAAATGACAAGCAGATGTTGTAAGACTCAATAGTAACACAGCACTAGTGCCATTCCAGTTTAAGAGGGAAAAGCAAGGTGCATAAAATAAATACAAAGAAAATTGTCCAATGCTATTATTTTGGAGGGTAACAGCCATGCTAACCCTTGGATACTAAATAAATTATTTTGAAAATCCTGAAAAAGTTCTGTCAAATATATTTTTTAAAGCTCTGATACCTTCACACTTCAGGAAGAAATGGACTTGAAATTCAGGTGACTTTGGTGATAAAGAAATGTCTTTGACTTCCTTTACCAAAACTTAAGCTTCTAAGTAGCCTCCAGATATAGCAGCAATTTTGTTGTGATGGACAGTGAGACATCTCTGGATGTCAGGTGTTCTTTAAATAACAATCAGTTTAAAACACTCTCTGTTAAATTCTCGACTATTTTTAACAAGCATGAATATATAAGTGGCTCCCATAATGTGCTGTGCAGCCAAAGACAATGAAATACCTTGAAATGTTCTTCTTGACTGATGGATTTATGTGACTTTCTGCTTGTTTGTTTCCCATTATTTTTCTTTTTTTAAACAGAGACAGCATTGACACTAACATGAATTAGCACTGACAGAATCCCTGCAGGCATCCTTACAGTGGGGGCAGCCATTATCCAATAACAGTTCTGTTTGCTGAACACTGCAAGGTTGCTCAGATATCTTCTGCTGCTCTGAAAGCTTGTGAAGGGCACAATCCTTCCCTGCAAAGATGAACTTCAGGGTTTTCACCCTGGTATTTATCATTCTAAACCAATTCCCAGAAATGAGAGAGAAATTCTATAAAAAATTCTGTTCTTTTTTATGTCTCCTATAAAAGGTAGGAGACAAAAAAGAATTCAGGCTATAAAATTAGCTATTAATGTTTTACCTTATTTGAGGTGAAAGAACATGGGGTTTTAAAAATTAAAAATTGCAATCAGAATATAAAATAAAAATCATTAGTACCAAATTACTACATAAGGCAGTGTGTTATCCTTGGCTTGCAGATTAAGAGAACACTAAACTTAAATAGGATTTCATCACATTAATGATAAGTATATTATGAAAAATTACCAAAGAACTCAGATTATTTGCTTTTAAAATAAATAACTCAGTCAGATAACACTGATTAATGTTAATAACTGATAATAACTGAATACTTACAAATAATGCCTTTTTGCACTCTAAAGATATTTTTGTGTCAAAATTTTAAACTGTTTTCTGAAGTTTTTCATTAAACCTTGTTTTATAATTCAGAGGATTTAGAATTTTGAAATACTGCTTTTGAAATAAAAATTGACACAGTGTGATAATGCTGGGTAATTAAACATAAGCACACAGATAACATGACAGTGAGATTGAGAGACAGGTACTTCATCCTTGGTCTTCTAGGACACCTTTTCTATGGATTCAGACCATTTTTTGAGGTATTTTCTTGACCATATTGATTCAGGCACATCAGTAAACAGTAGAGTTTATCTAGTTATATAACTGACTGAGCATCAGTCTTCTCTTGGTACTTCACTTGTTTCTGCTACCTCCAGCTGTCTGAGCATGCCAGTATCAAAAACACATGGCAAAAAAATGCAAAAATGGATCAGGCAATAAAGGTTTTCTGTGTAAAGGGGGAAAAAAGCTACAGAATATTGAGAACTCTGATGAATAAAGCATGATCAAAACAGTAAATTCATCCTTATCTGCAGCACATTTCAGAAAAACACTTGTTTAATTGTTGTAGTAATAATTAATGGCTGCCATCAACCAAGCCCTTGCTATACAATCTTTCATGCAAAGACATTGATGGGCACTCTGACAATTATTTCAAGTTTAATCAAGAAAGGAATTCCTCAACAAATAGCAGTGGAAAATAGATCTGCTGATTTCTCTGAGAAGATCACAGAAAGGAGGACATCATCTTGAGAGGGCTCCTTGAGGGCCAGGAGGAGCACCCAAGTAAGACTTGAGACAGCTCTGTCATCAGAATTCTTCCTTTTCACTTTCCATATCGTTTTTATTGAGGTTCCATTCATCTGTCACAGGCCAAGGCAATATTCAGCTTGGTGTCAATTTTCCAGGCACTTTTCCAGAAAAATGTGATATATTCCTTCACCCCTCTACTACAGAATCTTTGCTTAGTGCCTTTTTTTTTTTTAATGGGCTCTTTTTAATCTTTGAAATTTGCATAACTATTCCAGACTAACAGAAATTTTTCATTAATAGAATTTCCTCTGATGTCTGTGAGTGAACCTTTAGTGTTATCCTTATCTGCTGTGCTACATGTTCTCACCTAGCACTGAAAACATGAGGGTTTGGACTAAATCTTGTAATATCTTAGAGTTGAAATTGAACAGCATTATGTAAATATTCAGTGCTATTTTATACACATCCTTTGAGCAAAAGCTGAAGATAAAAATGCTCCAGTTTTGCTTTGTATTTCACAAGGCATAGTTGTACTTTTGCTATCACAATATAAAATAAAAGCATTTCAGTTTATATCTGTTTATATAAAGTTTATATCACAGTTTATCTTGCTTTCCAGCAAGCTGTGGCTACCAGCAAAGGCCTAAACCCAGAAGGTCACACAAATATTCCCTGTTATTTTCAGCAAGTGTGGGAGTGAAGTCTCCCTTCAAAGCTCAGAGCCCTCCAGGGTTTCAGGCAGTGCTGGCCTGCAGGAGACACATTGGAAAATCTGGAAAAGATTCTTGACTCTCTCTTTATTTGCCTGGAGATTTTGCTGCTAAGTCATGGCTTTTTCATCATGCCAGCATTTCTGGTTTCAAAGCAGAACTTTCTAAGGCATTATCAGTAGGCTAAACTGCATTATAACTATGCTGAACTGTAATCTATTAAGCATATTTGGAACTTGTTAGTGTATTTTGTAACATTCCTGTCACCTGTTTTACTGCAGGTGGCATATCTGTGTTCTTTTTTCCTTTTCTGGTCACTTTTCTAAAAAGACATTTTGTTCTGGGAGCTCATTTTACTGCTTGGATTTAATGCTGACTTTGGAGTATTTGAGTACCTGACTCTGCCTTTATCTCAGAACTCTGTATTTCCCTGGGTATTTCACTGCTCTGCCACTGCTTTATTTGCTTTGGGAGACTATACAGAAGCTACAATACTTGCCTTTTATCTTTTAACTGTTAGGAATTATTGTCTTTATGTTCAATATACAGAGACAGCTGTGGCCCTGTCATGGGCCAAAATACAGGTCTTACACAGCTGAGGTGGCAAATGGACACATCATGTTCTCAGAAATTGTATATTTGGATATAGAGGTAGTAATTTCTCTATCTCCCTGCCTCTTGCACTTCTGTCATTTATATGCTTGTGTCCCCTAAGCATTTTCTTAACCCTTTCCTGTGCAGACAAACTGACTCCATGTAATAAAGAATTATTTGGCTTATAAAAGCATACATGACAGCATAAAGGAAAAAATGTCTCTTGCAAGCCTAAAGAAATTATCCTGTGTTTGGATTATATTTTATGTTTGAAAACAGTATTTGACATATTTAATAGAACATTATCTTTTTTTTTTGTATAGCTGAAGATGTCATTTGTAGCTGTAACTTCTTTAATTTTTAAAATTTCATAGAAGCCTTGTAAGAAGCCCTTATAACTTTTATAGAAGATACAACAGAACTATATCAGTATAATAAAATATTATTGGAGCTCTAAGATGTATCTGATCTCAAGTCACTGAGCAAAAGTCTTGTCTGTTTTTATTGATCAAGTAACCTTGCATTGTATTTCTGCCCTGCCAGTGCACTGTCTGAAACATAGCAAGTTATCTTCTCCTAAGTGGATTGAAAAGTGCTATGGGAGTTCAGCTACTGTTTATTGCATTCTTAGCTGCAGCACATAGGAGAAATCCTATGAGGAAAGAATGCTTTTGATAAATAATTTAAACTGTTTTCTTTAAGGTTTGGGGTTTTCTATAACTAGTGGAAAACTAAGTTGTGCTCTTTTGCTCTGTATGTGTCTCAGTAAAGTGGGAGAAAAGCAGAGTGTAATGGAGAAGAGCAAATAATAGAGTTCAGGTCACAGAACAAGCTCTCCACCATATCCTCTAAGAATACAAGATATACAATTCTATTTGGAAATTTTCTAGGGAACTAAGTCATTATCTTCCTGCAAGCAAAAATGTGTCCAGGAGAAACTAAGCTTATTGCTGCTTGTTTCTACCATGTTGTTGCACTTCAGACTGAATTTCTAGGACACTGAACCTTAGAATCATGGAATGGTTTGGGTTGGAAGGAACCTTAAGGATCATGCAGTGCCATCATCATGGATCATCCCTGTGCCATGGGCAGGGACCCCTTCCCCCAGAGCATATGCTCAGAGCCCCATCCAGCCTGGCCTTGGACCCTGCCAGGGATGGGGCAGCCTCAGCTTCTCTGAATGTAGTCCTGAAACAGAATGACATTTTTATATGTAACATTTAGGGAAAAAACCCCAACCCCAGAAACTGCATTTTAAAAATAATTCTATTACAATTTATGACTAAGAGAATGATCCCCAGTGTCCAAGGTGATGCTGGCATGACCCTTTCCACTCCTGTTCAGGACAGGATCTCGTGTACTGGAGGCAGTAATTGTGTGAATGCCAGCAGTGGGGAACACTCTGCTAATTAATCAAATCTGCTACAACAAGTGGAAGTAGCAGAGTGGTAAAAGCTGTTGATGCAGAGCTAGTTCACTTCTATGTTAGTGGGAACTACACCAGTACAGAAACAATACTAAAAGAATTCAGCTTACATCTAAATGAAATCAAGGCCTTTGGCTGTTGTATTTTTTTTTTTTTGTGGAAGCAGAATTATGCCTTTCACGGGGTGATTGACTGACAAAGAATAGGTACCATGTAATGCAGTCCAATTACTTTATAACAGATTAATGGCTCTCCTGTTTGTGAAAATTGTGTGGGTGGGATTGCCAGTCAGCCTATTTGCAGCTGATGGCAGGTGTGAATCAGGTTGATGGAATAAATTTTCTTCTGCATGACCCTTCAGACTCCTCTTCTGCTCTATTATTTTGGTCAGTGGGTTGGTTTATAGTGTTATGCTTTACTAAAGGCACTAATACCCTTCAGCATAAGGCTTTAAATTTTAATTAACTCAGAGAATTAGCATCTCACTGCAATCTCATTCCCAGGAGTCCTTGGTAATCAAAGTGATCCCCTAATAGACATATTTATGTTTTCAATTGGATTTGTCAATTATGTGGATTTTATTTCTGTGTAAGCTGAAAACTGTAAACCTCTGGGATTTTGCTTTTACCTCAGGCCCAGCAAAGAAGATGGCTGTCACATACTTGCCCAGGCACAGCCTTGTGAAAAAAATTGTATTCTCATCCTGGATAACACAAAGGTATACAATTTTAGTTTTCTTTTCTGATTCCCCTTTCCCAGGTCCGTTGTGATAGTGAAATACAAGAGCTCCGTCAGTGGCAAAAGAAGCTGAGAGAGGAGAGGTACATTCATGAGGTGGTGAGAAAATTCTGGGCTAAACAGGAAGCCAAAGGTAAGTGAATTAAATTGTGGGGTTTTTGGTTGGTTTGTTTGTTTGTTTGTTTACATTGTGTTGAATTTTTATACTTTGAGTTGTCTAAAAAATAGGCCACACAGTAGGACCCTGATCCTGAGAGAGAAGGTAATGTCTGGTGGAAATGCTTGGCTCTTTCTTTACAGTCAATACTCTACTTGAGTTGCCTGTGCAGCTGAAAGTGGCAATGAAAAAATACAATATAGGGCTTAAATTCAATACTTTTGGAAAACTATGACAATTTGCTGGCACAGTATTTTGTAGGGCAGGATTAGACACCTACCAGCTACTCATCATGTAAAGCTGATTGTTACCAGATGGGTTGTAGTACAGTTTTTCTGGACTGTGGAATTTTTATCTGGTAAATATTCTATTGGCATTTTCCTGTAGTTATTTACAGCAGAATTTGGTCTGTACAGTTCTAAAAAGAAAAAAATAGAAAACAAACTCAAACAACCTAAAAAATTGCCAAGAGCAATAAAGCCAGATTGCTTCTGGCACTGTAATGTATTATTTTTTTGTGCTGTTTGTGGACAAGGCTTTACTGACAGGGCCAAGTTACCATTCACTTAAGCACACAGATAATAATCATCATCTTTGCCCTGAACGACAGGAGAGTGATAATTTTTGGTGATAGGAATTTGTTACAAGGGCTCTGTAGATTTTCCAAACATTTATTTATATTTATATTGCAGTTTTAATTATGAAATATTGGGTTTTATTTACCAATCCTTGAAATTGCCTGAGGGATATTTTATAGGTTCTTTTATAGGATATTTAAATGAAAATAATTAATTCTTAGGAACAAAATCATTCATCACAGCAAGGAAAAACTGTGTTTATATGTGTTTGTATATATGGGGTGTTCATATGCTGTAAGGGAAGTAGAATTCTTGGTTTTAGTAGCTTAGATCTAGAAGATTAAATCATGTAATAACAGAGCACAAAAATGATGAAAAGACAAAATCAGTGAGACATTGTCTTCCAGCAGACTTGACTGACATAGAAAGAAAATTTTGGCAGAGCAACCAGCTTTCTTCAAGTGGGATTTCATAGCCTCTCTACTACAGTTTATTTTGAGTTGACTCGGTTAAAAAATGTAGGCATCTTTTCTTTTTAAAAGAAACCACAGATATATCTGGCTTTAAGAATCTGAAAACACTGAATTCAAATTTGCTATCATAATATTATTCTCATAAATTCAAAACATAAAAGATGGATTTTTCTCTTTGTAATACATAGTTAATTCTGTCAGTGTTAATTGTTGGAAATTGCATTTCTGGAGATAATGATAGAGGTTGACCTTGCAGGCTTGCTAATGCCTTTTAAGTGATTGCAATTTAATGTTTGTGGCTTGGACTCTGTTTTCAGTTTGTTAATATTTTTATCATCTCATCAAGGCATGTTTTTTCTCACATTCCATTGTCCATGATACCAGCAAAAGTTAGGTCTGCATGTTTCCCACTTCTGAGAGACAAACCTATATATTCACAACACACCAGTGTGGAAAAGGATGAATATGATATTAGATGATTACACAGTCATAGTTTGCAGTCTTCATGCATGTAAAATCTTAAAGGAGAAAATTACAAGTTCATCTTCAGAGGACAAGGTGAAGTCATTCTCAGAATACTGCAATGAAGAAAAATAGGGGCTAAGGGTGGACTGTGTCATTTGACAGTTGAATTGATTAAAAATCTCCTGTGTCTGAGGAAATTTAATCTTCCTATAAACTATACTTAGGTTGTTTTGGAGACTTATGTAGTGGTAAGACTTCCTTTGCCAATTGTTTCAAAAGGAAAAACAAATTTCCTTTTAATCACTCTCACAGAGCTTTCCTGTCATCAAATCATTTATTTTAGGACTCTAGGACACACAGCTGTTTCATCACATCAAAGAAAGTTGCAAAATTACCCCTTTTCAATTTTTTTTCTTCAACCAGAATAAGTTTATATTGCTAATATCACATCAGCTTTCGATATTATCACACTGTTTCTGTAATTTCTTAACTGAGCTCTGTTAAGTTAATTTAAGAGTATCCCCACATCAAATAGCCTTGGGGCCCAGGCAGATGGCTATTTGGAAACAGCTGTACGAGTTGGAGAAGTTACTGTCCAGGGGTTTTCATTATCAATCTCAGCTGTGATGCCATAATTCATTTTGTTAGTGCTCCAGCTGCTCTTTTTTCTGCTCTTATTATCCTGCTGTTTATTAGTGTCATTAAACCCAATTTCAGTGTAAAGTCAGCAAGGTTAGTTTAACTGCTTTCACCAGTGATTCCACCCAGCCCAGCTGACTTTGTGCTGGAGTGGATGGTGAACACTCACACAATAATGAATAGCAGAACACAACTACTTTTTAACCTTGTCTTTCTAAGCATTTGGTTTAACTGAATTAATTAATTTGGTTAATTCAATTAATCCCCTTTAATTAAACCACTGAACTCTTTGTATCAAGCAGACAAAGAATTTATTGTTACTAAAACCTCAGATATCACAATTAAAGCATTAAGATTCATGGTCAAAAAAGAAAAAGTTGCATTTTTAAGTAGATACAGCATTTTATTATGAAATTAACCACATTAGGAAAAATAATGAAGGATCTCTTTAATTTGTATGTAACTAACTCTGTTTATTAGATGCTGTAAACAGTGTTGAATCTAACTGTAGGGGATGAATGGTGAGCTGCCAAATAGCTTTTAGAAAATGATGACTCGAGCAGTAATGTGATTCTATTGACACTACTAGAAAGATCAGCATACCTTCCATGGAAATATCAGCCAAAGACTCAGTTAATGTGAGCTAACAGGCAGAGTCTGCTTTGTTGAGATTTCAGCACAATGAAACCTTATTGCAAGGGTCCGTTCTAGGTAAAAAACATAATTTTATGAAAATGTGTTTGTATGTGATACTTTTAAAAAGATAGTAAGGAGATACTTCCCTGTTTGCTCCAGTGAAGTTCTTTAGTCGTCCCTCAGTCCATCTTTTATACTCTTTATTATTAGTTTTGCAAAGTGCTCTAGGATAGAAAGTGTGAAACTGCATGAAAATTACTTTATGCATTAACAGCACCTTGCAGGACTGTTGACCTCTTTTAATGCATGTTCTGGCAAAATTTCTTTTTGAGTGCAAAGAAAAAAGTGTGTTTCCTTCAGCATGTATCCAGGATCATAAAGCTAGAGCATTCTTGGCTGACATTTTATTTGCTATACTGCTCCACTGCTGTGTAAAATTACATTCCACAAAATGATCTATATTTAAGGTATGACAGTCCTTACTCTGAACAATTTCAGACTGAAAATGTAGAGATAAGTATAACACTTAAGACTCAGTTTTGTGACTCACAGCTTTGGACCTGAAGGGAGAAGGAATTTTCTCTAATATAGCACAGCTGATGGGATAAATTTGTTCCACAATTTTTTATAGAATTAAAAAATTGTTTGCTTTCTATAGAAAATACAGTTAATTAAAACTCAACCTCCAGAGAATGTGAGTGACAAACAGATTTTGGTTCTGAGCACCATTTTGTGCAGATTTAGTACGGATAGGACAGCACTGGAAATGAAAGTGTCTGTCCTACAATGAAAGGAATTTGAAAAATCCTTAAACTTTTAAAAGAAAATACCAAAATCTTCATCACTTATGTGACCAAACATTGCTGACACTCTATTGCAGGGGTAACTTCTCTGCTGTTGGAAGGACATCGCTGCTGTTACACAAACATTATTTTCAGCTATGTTGTGTCCTAAGGGGATTTTTTTCTTGTTCTTACCTGCATAAAATTTGTGAAATCTTACTTTTAAAAATCAGTATTCTTAGGGAAAATAGTAAAGGAAAAAATATTCCTGGGTTTATGGCGATACCAATTGTGACCCTATTAGCTGGCAGGTCTTACAAATCAACCATAGCCTGGGCTTTGCAAGGCTCTTGTGTAAAAGAGGGCACAGTGTGTGGAAAATGCACTTAAATCAAAATAAGACAGAAAGTAATCTTCACAGCAGGTGAGGAGGTGATTTCCAGATACAGGAGGGAATATTCTTTTACATTCTATTCAATTTCCAAGCTGTATTTTTCCTTTGGCAGTAGGAGTTATTACTTACCTATATGGAGAGGTTTAAAAAATACTTCTTTCATGGCAATAATCTTTTCCCTTGGGAAGATGCATCCAGCAATACTCTGCAGAACTCAAAATGGAGGTGGTCTGGAAAATCCTTGCAAATATAAATGAGATATAAGGGAGAACAGGCTGCATATTTCTGGTGCTAGAGCAGGAACAGATGCACAGTGTCAAGAAGCAGAGAAATGCAGCCACTCACTCCTGCTGCAGCTGTGATGCCTCCACCTGAACCATGATTCAAAAGCTTAGTTCAACTGAAGTTAAACTGAACAGGAGAAATCCAGTCTGCATTCTTTTGAAGGATGCCTGTATGCAATCATATCACATCAAAGCAGAATTAATTGGAGAAGAGAAAAATGTTACATTCAGAACCCAGAAAAAAAATGGCTACACTGTGAAATTTCTTTAAATTCATTCCATAAACATCCTTATGAAGTTACAGCCACATGCATGTTTGTAGGACTGAGTCGTTTCCCAAAGAAAATATTGAAAAGAGGATATATTTATAAATGGGAAATCTTACACTAGGCTTAAGATAATATTTAAAATTACTGCAGGTAATAATGTTGGATTAGGAAAGGCATAGTCTGAATAGCTAATGGATTTCATAAAGACTGCATCTCTGTGGTTTATTCAGGAAAATTCAGCCCTGTGAAATGTAAGGAATTAATCAGTTTTATGTGAGAGTTTCTTTTTTCCCTTGCTACTTTCACCAAGGGTGGTTGAAATAATTGAAGAAGATTTTGAAACAAAATAATTTGTTTTAATTTAATCTGCCCTCCTTTTACTGCAGCTTAGTTCTTTAATTAATCTCATAATGGAATTCTTGAAAGTGATGACCTCCTCATATTCTATGGTTTTAC